TCGGCGCTTCTGCACTTCCCTCCCGTGGAGTCGGACGTGGTTGGAATGTATGGAGTTTAGGAAAGGTTCCCAACAAAGACCTCGCCGTTGGACGATCCCCTCTAGGCCAGCTTCAGTGTGCTCACTGGGAATGATGGCATGGTTACCATAGTCACCGGATTTAGGACTGTTTGCCCAACTAACTGCGGGTGATGGACAACTTGGGTTCCTACAGCAGGCTTGGCCATCACCGCTTGCTGGCCAAGGTTTGTGGTTCCGTTCACTTGCTGGTGCGAGATCGTGTGAGCGATATGGCTCACCACGGGCTGGCTGACGGCCACGGGCTGGGGGTAGATGGGCAGCTGCTGGCCGAGGTGAGCCATGTGGTTGATGGTGGCTGGGTGCACAGTGATGTGGCCGATAGGCTGAGCAGCAGTGGTAAGTTGCACAGGGCTGGACGTGGAAGGTGCAATGTGAGCAATGTGCTTGGTCTGTGGACCCTGAATCACGTGGTTGACAGTCTGAATGACCGAAGCGTGGGTAGTGGCGGTGTGGGCAATAACAGTCGATTGCACGGTCGAAGCCGCCACGATGTGAGTCTGTGCAGGGACGATCGCCTGCGGCTGGACCAGTGCTTGTGTCTGGATGGGAGGCTGTGCGTGGGCTGGGGTTTGTTTCTGCTGGATGGAGAGGTGCTGAGGCAGAACCGCCGGGTGGTGGGAAGCAGCGTTTGAAGGGACGGCTTTCAGGAGCTCTGGGTGCTGGCGCTGGGTTAGTTTTGGTAATGAGTTCACTGGCCTGTCATCTTCCATGTCTTCATCCATGTTGTCTTCACCCTCTGGAAAAAATGAAAGGAAGAAACTCCCATAAAAAAGAAAGCAGAGCACGAACTGGATTAACCAGCCTCCCTAAAGGGCAGCACAGGCGGCAGAGACAACAGCAGGAGGAGTCACTGAGCTACGGGCAGGCGGCACGGCACGCTCCACTGAGCCCCCGTGGGGCAGCACACGCCTCTCCTCCCTGCTGGTGGGCCGAGGACCTGGAGCCAAGCAGGCATGACTAGCTCGAAGCCCCGGCTAGAGAGGGGTGCTCACAGCAGGCTGAGGTCCCGCTCAGCAGGCAAGGGAAGCAACGTCAGCAGAGGCAGGCGGAGAGCACCTGGGCTGAACTCCGTCTGGGCTGAAGAGGGCTCCTCCTGGGAAGAGGAACAGGGTTTCCTTTCCTGTCCAGTTGTTCCACTGATCGGTACCACCCCTTCTGCTCCCAGAGCGGGAAGGAAACAGCCATGGACAAACATGGCAGTGGGTTCCTTGTCCGGGTCTGGAAAACTGACTCTCGTCCAGCCCAGGAACTAATGCAGCAATGCAGGAACATGCTGACCCTGTGGAGATGAGGAAGACGAGCAGGGCACCTTGCACTGCCTGCGCTAAAGCCAGCCATGCAGTAGAGATTAAAAATCTCAGAAGAACAGAAGCAGCAGGAAAACCAGGGAAGACACTTCCCTTTTGCAAGCTCTGTGGTTAGTAGTAGCTTGAAGCGATCATTCTCCGCAGAGGCCGGCTGGAGAGGTGAATGGCTGACACTCCTATTGACAAAGCACTCCTACTGCCAACTTCCAGCAGCCTACGTGTGGAGCCTGCGAGCGCGTTCAAAGGTGATGAGCCCCGTACAAGCCTCAATGAACCAGGAAGCTCAGGTTTTCCCTTCCTGGAACCCGCTGTATCATCTGCCTGGAGTGCCAAGAGCAAATGCTGTCACGATTTGAAGGAACTGCTGCAAATGCTTATGGACTGCTAGAGCCTCCCCACCTCTGGGTAGCAAAGCACTGTACATCCACGGACTGCCTATTCTTCCTGCTGCAGATCACCGGTAGGGAGAAAAGCATGCACTCTCCTATCTCACAAAAACTTCTTACTGGGAACAGCACATCAGATACTCCTTAGTATCATTTCATCTTCACTGCGGCTCCTTTTCACACAATGTGAAGGCTCATTAAGTTGTTCAAATGCTCTGGCGATCCTTCCTGTACCGATTCCTTCTTCTCTACGTGGCTGAACACCCTCCTCCCACATCCACGACAAATACACCAGGATGCTCATACACCACTCAGTTCTAACAAGCAGGGATGCACAGTTGTGCCAGAGGAAAACTAAGTTTTGAATGCAGGGATCTCCACGTGAGGTATCAGCAGACTGAATGTGCAAACCTGCGCTCTGCATCTACCTAATGTTGATGCACAGTTTTCAGTTTACGCAAGCGGCAGTGTATTATTAAGCCAACAATAATGATTACAAACCACTTGAAAACTTTCTGAATGCAAAGAAACATTGAGGGTGCTAAATGAAGATCCCCACCATCACTATGTGACTGTGTCAGTGGTGTACAGTCATTGACAAGTGACTGACAAAAAGAAAAATAATTATGGGTACCTGATGCTGTCGAGGTAGATGCCTGGTCATCCTCTGGCTGAACTGTCTGTCGAATAATTCTGTCAATCTCCAAGATGTCCATCCACTGGCTCAACTCGTTCTTCAATTCTGCCAGTCGCTGCTGGGTAGCAATCTTCTCTCTTGCCAGCCGCTCCATCTCATGTTCATATTCTTTTTCCTTCCTTTTTAAAGTCTAAAGACAGAGGGACAAAAAAGAAATATAAGGAGAACAAAGACAAGTATAATCTACACTAACCTGGTCACTCCCAGGTACATAGCTTGGGTTTTTTATTACCAGTCATGTTGGTATAAAACGTGTTCAGATATAGTTACACCTTTCAAATTCAGGCAGAAAGGGAAAGGACAAGAGCTGGCCATAAAGGGTTACTTTGGCCAACTGCCTTCTGAGGGACAAGTGATGAGCCTCCAAAACTGAAATGCTTAACCATGTCAGGTGTGAATCCCTTCCACTCCAGGGGTAAGCTTAAAGCCCAGAACTCCTCAGGAAAAGCTGTAAAGAAGTATTTCTGGCACTCTAAAAACAGAAAGTGAAATCTTCTTCCTGCATTCTCCCTCTTTCACTCTAGCCTCCCCAACAGAACTAAAAAATTCAGAACCAAGAGCACTGAGCTATGACTATGACTCACATCTGTAATGTGGATGCCAAACCCAGCACAGCACTTCCACCCTGCTGACTTCCCCAGCTACACACAGGACACCAATGGTACGTGTGTGCAAACACGGGCAAGAAAGAACCTCCGTAAGGACACCCACAAATGACTCGTGGATTAAGAGCACTCGTGGACCCTGAAGCAGACTGTCCGGGGTCCGAGGGATTTGTGGGAGGTGCAGCAACATAAAGCAGGACTCCTCTCTCCTGACTGAGGCCAAGGGAGCTCCTTGTTGCACTTCCACATCAGTTTAGAGCGACAGGGGTCAGAACTCAGTTCCCACCGGCAGCCTCCCTTCACCTGCCTTATGAAATATTTGAAGAGGATTAGGGCTTATCGCAGACTCGTGGGAAGGTGCGAAGGAAGGGAAATGGGCGCAGTTCCCTCCGGTCGCCAGGCGAGCGGACACGAGACCACGGTCAGTTAGCCACTTGGAGAGCGGGGCTACGCAGTTTTTACTACAGACGTCTGTTCCCAAACATCCCTAAGGAAAGGACGCATCTAGACGGAGAGCAGTGCTCCCGCTCAGCAACAGACCGCTGGCCCGTGGCTTGAGAAGGGTGGGAACAACCCCACAGCTCGCACGAGGACAGAAACCCTGCTCTTATGCGGGAAGATAAAACCACAGGCATGTTGAAGTACTTCAAAGACAAGGTGCATAGGAAGAGATAGTATCTTTTACTAACCCAACTGACAGTAGTTGGGGAAAAAAGACAAGCTTTGGGTACACAAGCTCTACACCTACACGCTCTGGTGTGTAACCAGCACATGAATGATGGAGAGAGAGGGAACTTTTACACGGTCCGAAGAAGAGAAAAAGCGCAAGTACTAATTAGCTTCTGAGCAACACACACCACACCAAGAGCTCCTGAACTAGGTGAGATGGCTAAGAGCCGACAATACAGGGGAAATCCTGAAGTCAAATGCGAAGGAACAGTATACATTCTCCTCTTCTGCTAATGCCCACCCAGCGCTGTAAATCTGATACGATCACAGGCAGGGGAGGGAAGAGATGCTGCGTCAGTCAGTGCAGTACACAAAAATGCCAAGCCCAGTACTATTAATGGAAATATAAACCACACAGATCTGATGGGGATCAATTATTGAGCAGTGCAGCAGAAAAACAATAGCTGATCTTCACAAAAGCTACTAATTTATGAGATTATAAGCCAGTAGTGTAGCACTGAATAGTAACGGGACGGAGAATCTGTTCCCCAGCCCAGGTCAGCACTTACCATAAGCATAAAAGAGACAAAGTAAGTGAAATCTGCAAAGCCCTGTATAGCCAGTCCATTTTCTAAAGTTAAGTTTCACCACTGGGAATCTAAATCACATACACACTTCTGAAAATACCAGCTATACAGACCTCCACAGAGCCTGCACGGATGCTCTTTTTCACTCGCTGCTGGCAAGCACTGCATTTAAAAGCAAACCTTAGACTTGGCAGAGGATCAGACTCATGATCTTCGGAATATGTACTCTCTGTTTCTCTCTCAAGTTCTCCAGGACAACTGCAATCAGAACCTGACCTCATGCATTTCAATGGTTCTGCTGGTTTTTTATCTCAAAAGTTAGACAGGAATAACTTTAAAGTCTGTTCAGCCAGGCCTTTAATTCAGCCTAAGCCAACACAACGACTAGAGTAGCTCCTGCCTTCTTATAGAAAAGTAAAATGGAAAAAAAGGTACCTTTGTCCTGATAATAACAAAAAAGGAAGTATTTTTAAAATGGCCAAACAATGAGTATTAGCAGGGCACAATCATTCCAGATGTGTAAATGGAGACAGCTCCTCTCAACGAGGCTTATGCTGTGCCCCCCGGCACAGCTGGCTCTGCTCAGCTAAAAGCCTCTCCAAACAGAGTTTTCAGGCCAAGGGGGACAGGCAGCAGACATGCCAACTCCTCAATGCCAAGGGTTCATACTGGGAAAGCCCAGCAGACCAGTAGCCTACAGCAGTGAGAGGAGGTACTGGGAGAGCAGGGTGTCCGCAGCAGGAAAGGTCTGTCGGTACAGGAGGGACGGGGACTGCGGGACCCCCAGCTCTGCACCAGTGCTGACTTCTAGCCCGGAGACGGCGTTTAGATCTGTACGTGGCTGAAGCCAAAATCCATACGCTAGTTTTAACGTCTGTTATCCTACTGAGTGCGGCCAACACATTTTGCCTGCCCCAGAAAACACAGTAATGCTGCATGTGTGCTTTGATTTCCTTGCAGCCGAAGGGGTGTGGGTGGGACACGGAGGGCAAAGCCAAGGCGATGAGGAAGGTGCACGCTCCTGTGCTCAGCTTTAAATATGCCAGAAGAGAACTTGTCTGAATGTCTTCCCCTTCACTCTCTAATAAGGAAAGAAACAAGTAGGAGAAGCCTGCGACTAAAATCACTACCTACAGACACGAGCCCGGCCCCTCTCTGCAGCGTTTCTCTCCAAGCACGTTCTCCATGCAGTTACTCACAGGGCACGATAACGAAAGGACAGAACACAGCAACACGGCTTTCCAGGAAGAGTAAGCAAGAAATCCACGCAGCCTCAGCACCCATATAGCGCACAGCACAAGCATACTCAAGCAGATCTGGCTTCCTTCCCGGCAGCGAGACTCCCAGCACCAGGGGAAAGCATGACTATCAGGTATGGGCTGGGCGGCTGGTAATTAGTCACAAACTTTTAATTACTGAAAAAAGGCAGGCGAGCACCAGGACAAGTCTCCTGGCAAGAGCTCTGTTCCTCTCCGGGTGCTCCACTCCAGCTCAGGCTGGGGACGTGGCGCTGCCCCAAGCCGGGTGCCGCAGGCTCTGCCTCCCTCTGCGCTGCCAGCGGCCCCGGCCCT